CATTTGTTTTTCTGTAATTTTGTATTATTTCTACCCTTTTTTATCTCCATATATTTTTGTTTCCTTTTCTTTAAATAAAAAAAAAACCATTTAAGCAAAATAGTGTTTCACCACAAGATATTCTGACATAAAAGTAGTTACCATAGTCTCTTTCCTTGAAATCTTTGAGTATAACTTCATATACTGTAGCACCAAACATATCCAGACAATGTAAAAACCATTCAAGAGAATGACAGTATTACAGGGTATTTAGAACCAACTATCAGAAAATGAACAATGGTTTCTGTATAATCTCCTTGTCTATAAAAGCTTTTGTTTATATTATCACATATAATAAAATCCAATAAGATATAACATGTTAAGACTGATGGAGACAGAAGAACAAAAGCTTGATGGGACTTCAAAACAAGATGACACTAAATCAGCACTAGCTTTTATGATATCTTGTTTTCTCTAAAATAGCTGTTCTCTGCCTCATTTCTGTTGAGCTCTTTTTCTGTCATTTGTTGTCAGTTTGTATTCTTCATTTTGCTTTCTGCTCCATTCATTGTGGTCTCTCTGCCACTGTTTCTGAAATCTTGGTATTTTCCTTTTTTAGAATATCCTGCAGTATTCTTTGTAGAGTTGAAGTGGTGGTTGCAAATTCTCCTAGCTCCTCTTTATCCTGGAAGCACCTTGTTTTTCCATCAATTTCTAGGGACAGTCGTGCAGGATATATCAATCTTGGCTGGAGGTTGTCCTCTATCAAAGCTTGAATTGTTTCCCCCCACGCTCTTCATGATTTGATGGTTTGTGCCAAGAAGTCTGCCCTTGTAAGTGATCTGTTTCTTGTCTCTGATGGCTTTTAGTATTCTGTTCTTATATTGGATTTCTGGAATTTTGATTATTATATGCCTTGGTGTAGCTCTGTTTGGGTTATAGGTGGCTGGGGTCCTGTATGCCTCATACATCTGAGTATCTTTACCTTTTGCTAAATTAGGGAAATTGTCTTGGATTATTTCTGTGAATAGCTTTTGTAGTCCATTTGTTTGTGTCCCTACTTCTTCTTTTTATGTTCTTAATTCTTAGGTTATAGATCCTCTTATCATCTTCTAGCCTTTGTATTATTGCTGTTTATTTTCTTGTTATTTTTAAGAAGTTTTTCTTTTCATGCTCCCATATTACAAATCTGCCCTCCAATTCACATAATCTATCCTTAGTTTCTTTCAAGCTGTTATGCCAGCTTTCAATAGAGTTTTTAGTTTCCTGGTAATCTCTTTGAATCTGCTTCACGTGTTCTATATTTTCTCTATTTTCTCCATCAAACAATTCTCCCCTTTTTTTTCTGTTCTTCCATTCCACCATCTGTTTTTTCTTGGGCAGTGCTTAGCATTTCTCTAACTATTCTAGTTATATCTTGCTTTATTTCATTAAATACTTTGCTTTTAAACTTGTCTATGAGGCTCTGGAGATATCGCTTTATGTCTATTGGTGCCATGTCTGATATCGCATGTTTTCTGTCTTCCTTTGCGTTTCCCTTTCTTGGATCAGTGTTCTCAGGATTGGGGACTGAGGACCCTTTCTTGTTGCTCCCTCTTCCCGTACTTTTTGTTCTTTCTATACAAGGGAATATAGGAGGCCCAGTTTTTTTCTCTTTGTCTGTTACATTTTGTTTGAATTGCGCCGGCTAGGTGTTCCCGCCCACTGCAGTGTACTAGGGAGGCACAGACATGGGCAGCCTCTGCTGGGCACGCTCCTCCAGGTCAATCTACCGAAGGCTTCACTGCTAAGGTGCACCTCCAGGTGCTGGGACCTGGTTTGGGGTAGCCTACCGGGTCTTAGCAGCGTCACCCAGGCCAAACGCTCCGCACCAATCCCACTTGAGAGGGGAATATGTGACTAAAGTCACTGCAGTGTCCTGTTCCAGCAAGTCGGCCCGGTCCCAGTATGTCCTTTGCTGGAGCCTCCTACTCTATAGAAGGGTCCTTGTTCCGCTCACTCACCGTAGGTCGATGCAGGGCTCCCTGCCAGTCCTGCTCTCAACTCTGCTGATTCCCACTCTCAGAGCTTTCACATGTCTCTCTCCTTGCCATGCTGATTTGGACGCAGCAGTGGCAGCAGGAAATTCAAATCACGGCTTCCAGCTTCACGCTGAGATTTTATCTGTTCCTGTTATAGCACCAGGATTGCATTTCCAGTTGGTTTCTCTCAGCTTAGTTTGTTCCTGGGTCAGCAGGGTATATCTCCCCTTGCTTCGCACTGCACCATTCCTGGATTCTAAGCGGGGTATCTCAGAGAGCCTCCGTAGCTGCTGCTATCTATCCACCATGTTCTCCCAGCCTAAATTCTTTTTTTAAATTAAGTTTAATGGTATAATTTAGATATACATAATGATCACATTCATCACAGGAAATATGTACCTGTACATGATATATTTTAGTTCCTCTTTTTTTTCCCATTCCCCTTTTAACTCTCTTACTTCTCCATATTTACAAAGCTTTGTTTGCATTTTATCCTATTTTTCTCATTTTTTTCTTTTCCCTTCCCTCATCCCCCCACCAATTCCCCTTTCCTTTTGAATAATTATTACCTATTTCACAATATCTGTTATACATTTTGGTTCTTACACCAGAGAGACAGACAATGTGGTATTTGTCTGATTTATTTGACAATGTGATATGTGTCTGATTTATTTCACTTAAGAGTATGGTCTCAAGGTCCATCCATTTAGATATAAATGTCTCAAGTTTATCTTTCTTTATGGTTGAGTAGTATTCGATTGTATAAAAAAAGTACCTTTTTTGATTCATTCATTCATTGATGGGCAACCCATAGGTTCATGAACAAAACCCTGACTGCACAGGAAATACAAACACAAAGAATCAACAACTGGAATCTGGTATTTAAAAAGCTTTTGCATAGCAAAAGAAACTATCAACAGAGTGAAAAGACAACGCATAGAGTGGGGAAAAAAATCTCAGCCAGTTGTTTTTCAGAGGACTAGTATCCAGAACATAAAAAATCAGATTCCCAAATTTCAAGACCCAATCCAAAATTTGGCACCTGAAATGAATAGATACTTCTCAAAAGAAATACAAATAGCAAATAAATACATGAAAAAACGTGCAACATCACTGATCATTCAAGAGGTACAAATTTAAACAATGCTAAGATTCCATCTCACTCCAAAAAGAATGGCTATTATCAACAAATCAATGAATAATCAATGCTGGTGGGGCTGTGAGGAAAACGCAACCCTTGTCTACTGTTGGTGGGAGTGTAGACTGCTGCAACTACTGTGGAAGTCAGTGTACAGAGTCCTCAAGAACTAAAATTGGAGGTTCCATTTCACCCAGTTATTCCTCTTCTTGGTATTTTACCAAAAGAATTAAAAGCACCATACAATAGTGGTACATGCATACCATGTTTATAGCAGCAGTTTGTAATAGCTAAATCTTCAAAGGCTAAGTTCTTATATATACTAAAACAAAAATAAGTACCAAAGTTTGTCTCCTGTTAAGAATTAAACTATTTAAAAAGGCATGCTTCTTAGAATGTCACAATCTAAAATAGATTTTAAAACTCTGGTATATAAACCTTTCGAGAAACAAGAGAAAAATTCAAATATTTCTGTTTTTACAGACTATGTGCATTTTTCTCCATATAAGGGAATAAATATTGCTTATTACTAAAAAATTTAGACAAGTAAACAAATATAGACTTGTAAGATTTTATTAATAAGATAATCAATTTCTATGTTTGACAGGCACTTTCAGATTACAAGGAAGAAATACAAGAATGACAGTCTCTATAATATCAGTTCAGCCCTAATGACCCTGCTCAGCCACTTCTCTGATATTCCTCTGCTCAGTATTCTACTTCCCACAGCCTGAATAAAGATGTCTGAGTGGGTTTGATGGTTACCATAACAAACACAACAGTCCTCTTGGAGAATGTCTTATTCAAGTATTGAACCTGTCCCACCAATTGTAACTCTAAGTTGGAAAGTTAACTTAAAAAGCCATAGAAATTAAATCTGCCCTAACCACCATAGTCACTCAGAAAGCCAAAGTGATTCTCAAAGAAGGAAAAATACAAAGGCATGAATTTTGATTACTTTTTGCCTGCCCAGCATAATGATGTTCTATAAAATCACACGTAAAATTCTGAATATATATTTTGTATTCTGGATACAGAATTATCTTCAACAGTTCCATTGTTGTAATTATACCCATGGCTGAGATTAATGTTACAAAATCTTTCAATTAAGTGAATTGACCAATCATTATGTTCCCAATAAAAAAGCACTTAAGGTCATGAAACTCATCCAACTGATTTTATAAAATAATATAAATAAATTTTCTAATTAAATTTTTTAAAATATATGTTTCTGGACATAAATACAACAAATCCAAATGTCATTCAATGTTGTGAACTGAATACATGCCATTTCAATAAATGCCATATTATTCCCATATATATCAAATGCCAAAATATACGACAAAGTCAATAGAATGAAACAGAAATTATAAATATAGATTTAATGTTTAAATATTTATATGACTATATATGAGATTTTTAGCAATTGATGGAAGTGTAATGAACCAGACATCAACATAACAAAGATATGTGTAATTACTTCCTTAACTGTTTCAATAAGTTATCTAGTTCAATACTAAAACCTATGAGGTCGAAATTAATTACAAAAATTTTACACATTTTACAAACATGAAAACTGAAGTTCACAGAGATTATTCAGTGCATTCAAAATTATAATGTTAAGTGATAGAGCCATACACCATTTTCTTCATTCTGAAATATTATCTAACACTATTCTGTGCTCCAAGTGCAGCTGAGAAGCACACACTGCCAATTAATCTGGCATGTCTACATGTTGTAATACACACTCCTAGAGACACGAAAATATTTGTCTCAAAGCCAGTAAATATAGTGTATAAAAACTTTAGCATAGTAATTTATTACCTACAGCTGGCTGAGGAAATATAATCAATGACTCTTACCTTTGGCAAACATAGGCAAGATATCCGGACTTCCCCAGCTCCATGTGTATTTGCTTTCATTAAAAAGAGAATCAAATTCTACAGGATTTTCCTTCCACCCTTCAGATAACAGAGAAAAAAGTAAGCAGTAACAAAAGTAAAATATCTGTGGTGAAATAAATCCCAAAAGACCGATTTTTCAAATAGTATCATTAGTTGGAGAACAAATACAAAACTAATGACAGATTTTGTTATGCACAGTATATCACTACCAAGAAATAACTTATTTTTTAGTAAAATATAAAATCACTTTTGAACTCTTGAGAATAACCTCTAGGAAAACCATACATCCTTCTAACCATACTTTTACAATTGCACAGCATGATAAAAGAATAAAGCTTAATTCCAGACTTAACACCAAGGTACAGTCATGTAAGTAAAGCATGCTAAAATATTTGTCAAGACATACTTTTTAATTTATAATATAATTAGTGGTAAAGAAGGAATAGTTTTATATGATAAGAGTTTCATTTAACTGTCTAAGTAGATAATACCTTTGGCAACTGCACTCACATCTTCATAAAACCCAGCTATCAGGGCTACATGCCCTGGCCGAGATTCTGTTGGCACATGTGTATGAGATATACCCCAGCTGCCTTCATGCATTATAATATTCCTAAAAGACAATACAGATGGATAGTTAACATAGATCTTCATGAGACTTTAGAAAAATAAGATTATAGAAGAAATCAAAAGCAAAAGAATAGGGGAAGGGGATATAACTTAGGTGTGGATCACTTGCTCAGCACTATAAAATCAAAACAAAAGAGTCAAAAATTAATAAAGAGAGTCCATGCAGTAGCATGAGTGAACAAAGTGAAATGGACAAAGAACTACTTAGCCACTATACAGAATCATAAGGCAAAACATCAACACTATTGATGTTTAAGCACAAAATACTGAGATGATTTGTTATACAGATAAAACTGGTATATACACTATTATTTACACATCAGTGTTAAATTTTGTTCTCATGACGGTATTGTGATTATGTAAGAAAAAGTCCTGCTCTTAAGACATAAGTGCTAAAGTGTTTAGGGTGTCGCAATACCTTGCCTACAAATTGTCAGGAAAGATAATTAAAAGGTAACACTCAAAAATCAATAGCAAGTGCCAGGGATTTAGCTCAGCAGCATAAGCGCATCCCTGGCAAGGGCAAGGTTGTGAGTTCAATCCCTGGTACAAAAATAAATAAATACATAGCATTCCTGTACGCAAACTACAAACTCACTGAGAGAGAAATTATGGAAATGATACCTTTCACAATAGCATTCAAAATAATGACATACTTAGGAATCAATCTAAGGCTGTAAAAGACCTATATGTTGAAAACTATGGCACTCTCAAAAAGAAGATTGAAGAGGATGTCAGAAAATGGAAAGATATCCCTTGCTCTTGGTTAGGAAGAACCAACATTGTAAAAATGGTCATACTGACAAAACTGTTATACAGATTTAATACAATTCAATTCTGATCAAAAATGCCAATAACGTACCTTACAGATCTAAAGAAAATATTTCTAAAATTCATTTGCAAATGGGCATCTGAAACAAATATGTACTTCTCAGATGAAGAAATACAAGTGGCAAATAAATATATGAAGAAATGTTCAATATCACTGGTCATTCAAGAAATATAAATTAAAAAACAACATTGAGATTTCATCTTACTCCAAAAGAATGGCTGCCATCAAGAAATCAACTCCACTGCTGGTGGGGATGTGAACTAGTGCAACCACTGTGGAAATCAGTGTGGAGATTTCTCAAAAAACTAGGATTGGGAGTCCCATTCAATCCAGCTATTCTCCCTCCTGAATATTTTCCCAGAAAAATTGATATTGACATGCTACAGCAATATATGCACACTCATGTTTATAGTAGCACAAATTGTAACAGTTAAATCCTAGAAATAACCCAAATGTCCACCAACTGTGAAATGGATAAAAAAGATATGGTATTTTTATACAATGGAATATTACTCGGTTATAAAAAGGATAATCTTGAGGCTTTTATAGGTAAATGGAGGCAACTTGACACTCACAAGTGAACGCAATCAAACTCATATTTATAAATACTGTATTATCTCCCCAGTATAAAAATAAAAAATAAAAATCTGAAAGAGTAATAAGATCCAAAATATACACAGATATTGTACTCAAAAGGACCAAACTACTGGAATAGGAGAAAGTAAAGCAGGAAGAAAGGAAAAGATTATATGTATGTTGGTAAATATATATAAATGTATGTATGTATATGTATGCTAAATAGATAACTATACTATTTTCAGTTTATCAGAAAGAACAGTTTGTGCTGTCACTGTTGAATTGACCATTTTGTGTCTAGATTTTATAACTGAACAACCAATTCTGAGATAAAAATATGCAATACATTAACTAGGGTTAACTTCCTACTTTTTTTTTTAAATTTTGTATCATTTCTTATCCTGTTTTGCTTTAAACAAGAAAACCCGAAACAAACTATATTTGTCTTTTCTTTGTCAACTAAGAAATTCACCCAAATGTGTAATCCAAATAATTATTTGTAGCAATTTATCTTAAAGATTTTTGTGTATTACACTTAACTCTAGTTTGATCTTATTTTTCAACTGTTTCCCTATTAAGTTGCTCATTTATTTTATTAAGCATCCTCAAGCCACTATAAACTTTATCTTCAAGCCGCTATAAACTTAACACAGTATTCAAGATCATTTATTCTTCCTGAAGACAACAAATACTTGTTAATTGCCTGTTATGGTTTGTGTTTGGATGTCTCCCAAAGACTATGCAGTCATAGGTGGGGCTTTTTCAGAGGTAGCTGGATCTAGAGTGTGTGATTGATTCACTGTACGATGTTAAGGTTAAGTGTGCTAGGATTAAGGGTGGGTAGTTACTAAATCAATCCACCGATTGGTTTGGCACCACCCTAATCCTAAATAGTCTATCCAATGCCCTAGATAGAATAAAGAAGGGGCAGAAAAAAGCAGCTAAGGTCCCTTGCTTGCTTTGCTACCTTTTGCCTACCATGAACAGTTTCTCCTCTTTGATGCCTGTCTGCTGTGTTACCCTTGGAACAGCCAATTATGGGCTGAAACTTCTACAAACTATGAGCTAAATAAATCTTTCCTCCTTTAACTTTGGGTCCTGGGTATTTTGGCACAGCAACAAGAAAAGTTAAGATACTACCAACATGCAGTCTAAGAACTAGAGAAAAAATGTAATTTTAAGTCCCAGTCTTCACGGAATTTGAACAATGATAATTATTTAAAAAAAAAAACAGGATAAAGAGATAAAGTAATTATGACATGGGGAGAAAGATGAAGGAACAGTAGTATAGATAAATCTCTTGTTAAACTTGATTTAGAACTCTCCAAAATAGTACAAACAGTTTTTGAGGGCCATGTCATTAATCAGAAAAAGAACAAATATATAGGTGCCTCGTAAGTTAAGATAATTAAACATTTCTTCCCAAAGTCAGTTAATAAAAGTCAAACTTATGTTAAATAGTGATATAGATTTAAAAGAGCTTTCTAACTTTTAATTTTATGTATTTTTGATACTTTACATCTATATTTTGTAAACACCACTGTAAACAGTAACTTACTTGTTTTTGTGCTTGTCATTAATTAAGAAAAAAAGCTTATTTTTAAAGTAAAGATAATATTGCCTGAGACAGGAAAGATGGTAAGCTTGGGCAATTTAGTGAGACTGTCTCTCAAACCAAAAAAATAAAAAGGGCTGAGTATTCAGCTCCGTACACTCTAACTTCAATCACCAGTCCAACAAAAAGAAAAATAGAAGGAAAGAGAGAACAGAAAAGACAGTATCAGGATTTGTGAGCCAGATTTGGGAAATTAGGACAAATTTACAAAGAAGCCAAGGACACACATTTGAACTCATATGGTATCAGCTTCTAAAATAGTAGAAATAACCCCAAGAAGAAAACTGGCATCATAGTGCTAACATATAACACAAAGAAAAATGTAGAAGTGCCCTTTTCTTTTTCTCATTACCTCTGCTGTGCCCAATGTTAGATAAACAGTAAGATATTTTACTGCTTACTTGATCTCAAGAAAACATTTCTAAGAGATGTCTACATACTAGTGATATGCTTACCTAATAAATGGTGCTCTTGAGTTTCCATTTTCATCTAATTCATAAAGTGCATCTGCTCTCAGGCCATCGGCAACAAAGAGCACTAATCTTCTTGCTGGAGGAGGCAATGATGTAAACTGAGGAGTCATTCCATGAACCAAAGGAGATGTAAAATAAATGTCAAAGATGGAGACGAAGAACACAAAATGTACAAACAAGCCCAAAGTAAAGAACAGCAGCATATCCAGTGTGACTAATTTTCAAGAAAAACAAAGAGAACAAAATTAAACTGGCATAAATACTAATGCAATTATGTCTTTTCATATATTTTAATGACTACATATAAATTTAACATATTTTAAAATGTTATATAAATCACAACTTCACTCTCACTTGTGGTGGTAACAACAAACATTGTTTAATAATAAGACCCAAACAAAATACATGATAAGGGCCGGGAGTTTAGCATAAGCTTAGCAGCATAAGCACCTGCCCTGCCAAGCACGAGGTCATGAGTTTAATCCCTGGTACCTGCCCCCCAAAAAACATGATAAAGTAACCCAAAGAAGACAAAGCTTAAGTATAATAAATAACTAGGATTAATAAGGTATTTAACATAAATTTAAGTATATGCTAAGTACATAAAATTAACATAGAGTCAAAGAAAAAACAAGAAGTACCTCATCCCTGGAAGGAGTTAGGATTCAGTCAAATCAAATACTATATAAAATAGAAAATAAAACTAATGCTATTCTCGGTTGTCCATATGACTAATGTTGTGACTTTTTGACTTTAAAATTATTCAAATCATTTATAATTACTTAAATGTTTATGAATTGATTAAAATTATTTAAATGTTTTCATTTGAGTCTTTTATTTTTGGAAATTAGCTCAGAGGGTACTCAAACTGAGTAGGAAACATGTATTCTATTCAGTTAGCTCAGTCAGATGTAGCAAGTTAAATTTCATCCATGCTTCAAAAATTTTGCACTTCATAAATAACATTTTATTTTAACCCGAGTTAATACCAAAAGACAGAGTAACATTTATTCTTTCAAAAAAAGTGCTCCATGCATAATTAATTGGGGTGCTATATCAACTACCAAGAAGATACTCAAAGATCTGATGAACTTACAAATACTAAAGAAAGAAAACTACACAAAATAAACACTTAAATAATACTGTAAGATAGTACGCTATTAAAGCCCCAAAATTAAACTGTCTATAGGAGTGTTTTTCCAACAGTCTGTAATTTGCTTTTGTTGGTAAATCTCTGTGTGGATTAAGAAGAAAAAAAAGTATTGAAACTTCTCTTACTTGTAACAGCATTTGACAGTAGTGACCATGGGCCTGAAAACACCAAACATGAGGTTATCTGAATTACAGACACATTCTTCTAGGCTTAAAGAATCATCAAATCATGGAAAAAAGAATAGCAAAAATGGCCTGTCTAAAAAAAAAAAAAAAAAGAAAGAAAACATTGGAAAAACATTTATCAAAGACAAATACACACACATACACACATACACAAGAAAAAAAGAAAGAAAGAAAGAAGAAAGAAGAAAAGAAAAGGAGAACAGAGAACAGAGAAGAGGAGAGGAGAGGGGAGGGGAGGGGAGAGGAGAGGCAATAGAACAAAGGGTTAAATTAAGGTCACTTTTTTTCTGAGAGAACTAAAAATCAACTATCAAGAGTTATCTCATAAAATACCTGCAAAAAATCTGTTAATAGATCTAACACCACCTGGAAAAAAAAAATCTGTTAATAGCTCTGACAATTTTACTCTATGTACATTTTTACAGAGGTACATAATTTCACTTATTAATGTTTTTCTTTTAACATACATTAGCATATCTCACAAAAAATCACAAATCATTTATATTACTTTATTGTATGGGAAAATGTTAATTTTCTTTTTTTTTAAATTACTTTATTTGTTAATATTAAGAAGAAAAGGTAAAACAAATTTTCACAACAAAATAATGGAAAAGTAACAATTGTTGATAAATTACACAACATTATCTTTAGTCACTCAAGTACAAAATATGGGCATAAAACTTACTTCAATCAATATTAGCACAACCTTTCCTATTCAGTGAACTAAGTGACACTAATGGTATAACTAACTTGCATTTTTTTCTTTTCCCTTCTATCCTTTCTCTTTTCCCCTATCTTAGTTTCTTCTTTTAGTTTCCTTCCATTTCACAGTGACTATTGTATATTTTGAACCTTATGGTTTCACATGTCACTGTGGTGTGATGTTTTTCAATCCTTCTGGGAAGATACACAGAAGGGGAATACCTGGGTTGAATGGGACCTCTAATCCTAATTTTTTGAGGAATCTCCACACTGATTTCCACAGTGTTTGTACTAGTCTACTCTCTAACCAACAGTTGTAAAGGGTTTCTTTTTCCCTACAGAACCAGGAGCATTTTTTATTGGTTGATATATTTTTTTAAAAAATTAAATGATTTTTTAATGAATAAGGGAGAGGATGAGATAAAAGGGGGCATAACAACATAACAATACAGGTTAAAGCATAACACTTTCAGCAACCTAGTGCTTCACCACCAAATAACCCAACTTAATAGTAGTTACCATAGTGTCTTTTTCTTTGAAATATTTGAATATAACTTCATATGCTATAGCATCAAATATATCAAGACCGTGTAACACCATTCAAGTGGGTGAAAGCATTGTAGAGTATTTAGAACCAGCTAACAGAGAAAAATGATCAATGGTTTCAACATTATCTCTTTGCCTATAACAATTTTTGTTTATACTACCACATACGATAAAGTCCAGCAAGTTACAACATAATAAAATCAATGGAGACAGAAGAACCATAGTTTGGTATGGCTTTAAGACAAGATGTTATTAAATCAGCACTAGCTGTTATTATGTCTTATTTTCTTCAAAGTGGCTGTTCATTGCATCACCGGCCATGATATCAAACAGCCCAGAATAAAGCCATTCCAAGTAATGAGTGACAATTTTGTAAGGCTTCAAGGCCATATAATGGGGAATCATGGTTATCATGTACTTTTATATATTTGATTCATTTCCTACACTAGGGAAACTATTCGGAGTTCACAGATGCGAGTTTGATTTAGTTCACTTACGAGTATGGTTTCAAGCTGCGCCCATTTATTGATAAATACCTCAATGTGATCCTTCTTTACAGCTGAGTAGTACTCCATTATATAGAAGTACCACAGCTTTTTTATCCATTCCTCAGTTGATGGACATTTGGGTTGTTTCCATGATCTAGCAATTACAAATTGTGCTGCTATCTTTTTTCCTCTTTTAAATAAATAAATAAATAAATAAATAAATAAATAAATAAACATATTATCTAGACAAAAGAAATTCACAAAGAAACAACAGTTTTACTACACCATAGATCAAATAAACTTAATAGTTATGTACAAACACAGTTATCTATGTAACAATTGCAGAATATACATTCCTTCCAATAATTCACATAACTTACTCCAAAATATATAATATTTTAGACCATTTAGAAAGTCTTAACAAATACAAAATTACTGAAATAATGACTGTCATAATATCAGATCATAATGTAGTGAAACTTGAAATTCACAGCAAGAATAACTATGTAAAAAATTTAACTTTGATTGGCAAATCATTAATGAAGGAAAAAAATTTAAATTCCTTGAATCAAATTAAAATAGAAACATAATATGCTAGAATCTCTGGGATACGACAAAACAGTACATATAGGAGCAATTTTATGAGTGCCAATATCAAAAAATCAAAGAGATTGCAAAGAACCTAATTATGTATTGAAGGCCCAAGGAAAACAAAAACACTAAAACCAACTAATAGATAGAAAAATAATAGAGATTATTAATAGATAATAAAAGAACAAAAAAATCATTGAAACAAGAGTTGGTTTTTTATTTTATTTTATTTTATTTAAAGGGAAAAAAAGCAAAACAAAAAAGGAGTAATAATATAGAATATCCTTTTTATAGCTGAGTAATATTCCATTGTATAAAAATAACATATCTTTTTCATCCACTCTGCAGTTGATGAGCATTTTGGTTGTTTCCAAGATTTAGCTAATACAAATTATGCTGCTAAGCAGTTGGTTTTTTGATAAGATAAATATAAACCCTTAGCCAAAGTAATCAAAAGACAGACAAGACTCAAATCAAGGGCACTACAAAAAAGGGGATAAGGAGATTATAATAGGCATCACAAAAATGCAGAGGAACATTGAATCTATTTTAAAAATATACATGCCTAGAAGAACAAGAGCCTAGAAGAAATGGGTAAATTTCTAGGTACACTGGACCTAACAAAATTGAACCAAGAGTATATAAACCTAAATACATCAATAACAAGGAGAGACTGAAAACAGTAATAAAAAAAAGTCTCCCAACAATGAAAAGCCCAGGAACAAATAGATTGGCTGCAGAATTTTTACCATACCTTTAAAGAAAATCTAATAGCAATGCTCTTCAAAATACTGCATGAAACTGAAAAGAAAGAAATGCTTCCAAATTCACTATATGAAGCCAGTATCACCATGATACCAAAACCTGATAAGGACACACACACACACACAGAGAATTTAGAGATCAATATCCTTGATGAATATAGGCACAACAAAATTTAATGAAATACTTCCAAACACAATTCAATAACATTAAAATGAAGATACAACATGATCAACTTGGTTTCATTTCCAGGATACAAGGACTATTCAATATATACAAACCAAAAAACATCTTATGCCACATAAATGAATGTATAAAACAAGGGTGAAAAAAATCACATTATCAACTGGGGTAGAAAAAGCCTTTTAAAAATTCAACATCCCTTCATGATAAAATCCCTAAAGCAACTAGGTACAAGATCATCAAGATCATAAAGGCTATGGTCTGAGAAATCCATAGCTAGTAGCACACTCAATGGGGAAAAACTGAAAATATGTTCTCTAAAATCAGGACCAAAACAAAGATGTTCACTCTATACACTCCTACTCAATACAATACTTGAAAATTTAGCCAGAAAAGAAATAAAAGAAACACAAACAGAAAAGGAAAAAAGTCAAATTATTATTTGTAGATATGATCTTACACATAAAAAACCATAAAGGCTCCCCCCAAAAATTTTAGATTTGATAAAAAAAATTCAGCAAAGTGGCAGGATACAAAATCAATGAACAAAAATCAATACATTTTCTGTGTACTAATAATGAAGTTAGCTAAGAAAGAAATCAAGAAAACAATTCTATTCACAATACCTTCAAAAAGAATTCAATAAAATACCTAGGAATCAACATAACCAAGCAGGTGAAAGACCTCTATAGAGTAAAAATCACAGGACACTAATGAAAGAAATTGATTATGACATTAGAAGATGGAAAGACCTATCATGATCATGGATCTGCAAAATTAATGCTGTTTAAAAAAAAAAAGGCCATTCTACAGATCTACAGCAATCCCTATCAAAAGCAAAGCTACAGAGTCATTGCAATCCCCATCAAAACACCAATGACATTTTTCATAGAAGTAGGAAAAAAATCCTAAACTAATAATGGAAACACAAAAGACCCAGAACAACCAAAATAACCCTGAGCAAAAAGATGAATATTAGAGATACCATAATACTCAATTTCAAAATATCCTACAGAGCCACAGTAACTAAAAATAGCATGATACTGGCATAAAAATAGGTACACAGACAAATGGAATCCTACAGAAGAACAGAGAGAAGCACATACAACTATAGCAAACTGATTTTTGACAAAGAACCCAGAAAGCACAGAGAAAAGACAGCCTCTTCAACAAACAGTATTTTAAAAACTGATTATCCATACATGTAAGACTGCAACTAGATTTCCATCTCTAGTCCTACATAAAAATTCACTAAAAATGTATCAAAAATCTAAATATAAGACCTGAAATTAATTTTGAAATGTTAGAATACAACTCATGGAAAACACTTCAAAATACACAGACAAAGACTTTCTGAGTAGGATTTCAATAGCTCAGAAAATAATAGTAAGAATCAACATTAAAAAGCTTTACAACAAAGGAAAACAAGAGACAACAGAATGAACCTTTGCTTGTTACTCTTGAGATAAAGGATTAATATATAGACTATATAAAGAACTCAAAGAACTTAACTCCCAAAGAAACACAATCCAATCGGCAAATGAAGGGAACAAACACTTAGTCAAAGAAAACTACAAATGGCCAATAATTTTATGAAAATACCTATCAGGCAAATGCAAATCAAATCTACACTGAGAATTCATCTCATCCCAGTCAGAATACAAAATACAATGAATGAGGATGAGGATGCAGGGAAAATGAATTTTATAACTCTTAGTAGAATGTAAATTAGAACAGCCACTATGGAAATCAATACGGGGTTTCTCAAAAAAGTAAAAATAGAATTACTCATATAAGCCAGCTATAGCACTCCTTGGATTGGTAGAATTAAGGGTATCATAGTAGAGAGATACCTGTATACTCATGTTAATTGCAGCACAGTTCACAAGAGCCTGGGAGCCCATCAATGAGTAAATGTCTAAAGAAATGTGGATCAAGAAACTCTGAAATATTATTCAGCCACAAAGAAGAATGAAATTATGTTATTTGCAGGAAAATTGTTTGAAACTGAAAACCATGTCAAGTGAAACAAGTGAGACACAGAAAATATATCACATTTTTCCTAATATAAAAGGAATGAACATAGCAAAAGAA